TTGAGGTCGTGGTAAAATAAATTCGGCACTGGCGACCGTCCGAGACAACGAAACTAAAAATCGTCAAGTTAAAAGTCGTAACAACAGGTTGTTTTGTTAGATATGAAATAATGAAATAGATAATAATTCAATGACACAACTACTTGTTTTTTGACGAAATTTCAAGTCAAATTGGAATATTTTTTGGAAAATATTGATAAAAATTTAAAAAATTGCTGTTTTATTCTTTTTTGGAAAAATTTGCATATTCCAGCCTCTTTTAGTTAGGCAACTTATAGTACAAAAGATTTTTTTCAATTTTTATTCAAATATCACGCGGAAAAATGAAAAAAAGTAAAAATATTGAATTTTTTCGTAGTTTTTTTTAAAGTTTCTAAGTCAAAGACCCTTTTAAATAGGCAACACACATAACTAAAATTTTTTTTGAACAAATATCTCAGGATATTACCTGAAAAAATGAAAAAACAAAATTTTTTTCTGAATTTTCTAAGTTTTCAACTAAAAGCCCCTTTTAAGTAGGCAACACACCGTACTAAAAATTATTTATTGACTTTTTCACATGTAAATAAATCAAAACCAACTAAACAATTTTTATTTCCTCCAATATGCTAACAAATTAATTCCCCACGACAGATTAATTACCCCGTAAAACGATATCAATTAAACTCTCCTCGTGTAACGGACAAAGTCAGAACGCAAATGAAAAATTGAAAAGTATTTACGACGCGGCGAAGATGCATGCGCGCGATGCGGCGTGTGTGCGTATGCGCGATGCATTTTAAAATGCGTACGAAAAATGCAGATAATAAAGAAATGCGCCTTTCGTTGGCGCGCGGCGTGCGCCCGTTCGGCGCTCGCGTGAAGGTATTCGGGACAACCGTACGTTGGTTGCTAGCGCGCGCGCGCACGCCGCTTAATAAGACAGCGCAGTGCGCGACTAAACAAAACAGCAACAAGCCCGCCGTAAACCGTATGCACGACCGTTTTATAAAGATGATAATATAATACTACGTACATACTCGCGAAGGAAGGTCCGCTTACGTGCCATAATGCGAGTATAATATCAACATTGCTATCTTTCGCTTCATATTCACCGGTATCGTCGGGGTATCAGCTATGCATAAACCGTAACTTCTTCCGTTCGCCGATAATTCAGCGTCGTTGCCAGGCGATCAAATGAATTAATACAAATCATGTGCAGCAGGTTGACATATAGCGTGTAAGTCAAACAAAATTAACCAGCATAAAGGTATTGATTATTTATTTCATGATTTATGTCGAAAAAAATGATTTTTTGCGTTTTAAGCGGCAGAAATTTTACAAAAAATTTAAAATTTAATTTAAATAAATTATAAAGATTTCTAACGTTCTTAAACGCCATCTAGGTTTGAATTATCTTATTATAATCACGATATAATCTCTAAAAAAACTTTCAACCCTTATTTTTCAACCTTAAAATTAAATTTTTGGAAAACAAAATAGCCTATCTCTTACTTTCATGATAAAACTACAAAATACTAAAATTTCATCAAAATAGCTTCAGTAGTTTTTGTGTGAATGAGTAACAAACATACAAAATCAACAAATTTGTCATTTATCGTTCTCCTAGCAATATTCTGATGATGCACAGTTGGTTACCAGCCAGCAAATGCATGATTCTTCCATTTCTCGATGAATTCCCATGAATCATTCGAAGATAAATCTAAAATTTCACCAAAACCTCTTAATATAGTTATTTGGCACGTGTTTGTTCGCCAAGTAGTCAAATTATAATACAAATATAAATCTCCACTCATTAATTCATCGCTGTTGTGTCCGCTGACCGTGTTTTCAGCTCGGTTTCTTCGAATATCCGCCCACAAGCGCTGCCGTCCCAAGAATCATCATCGTTATCGTTCATTCATTTAATTTTTCCACTGCCAACGCCGCCGCGCGTTAATTTATTCAATCCACTTTTATCTCTCGAGTATCGTGGACTTTTTGTTTGGTTCTTTTTTCACATAATAACATCGTTTCATCGCTTCATTTGCGCAATCGTTTGCATACGTTTTGTTCGCTACTTCGCGCTCCTAATAATCACGGCGATACCGAATCAATTGCTTATGTATGTAGATTGGGAGCGTCCGCATGTTAATTACATGTAAATTAATTAACAAATCAACGTGTCTCGCATCTACACCGAGTGTTTTTGTAGTGAATTAAGAGTATAATAAGGATCTTAACACTGATCCAAATCCGCGGTTGTCTTTTTGACTCGTATCTCGACATCATTTAATATTCTAATTCTTCATTATATCGCAGACAAAAAAGACGCACAACTAGTTAAGGCCTGATAAATGTGTGTTATACATTATTGGCCGCGCTGGTTTCCAGCCGCGCGGAGCAGATACATCGCTGATAAAGTAGATCGGGTCGGCGCGATGATGGTGAATTAAATTAAAATAAAACATTAATACAACACGAATGGCTGGAATTTAATAAAGCAATGAAGCGGCAAACTCGCCGCGTCGCGCAGAAAAACCGCGCAATGTAGGAAACACACACACGCCGGACACAAAAAATAATCAAGAAGTAAACTAGGGAAGGTGTAACCGGAGAACAGAAAAGGCGTATGGTACGAAACTAGTTCAGCGTGTAAATGTGTCGGTTGGGTTGCTTGTCGCGTTGCGCACGCGCACTAGCGCAGATTTGTAGTTTGGCGTTTTATCGTAATCGCACGCAAGCGGATCCTATTCAGGAGTCCCACTAATCCGTATCGGATTCAACCAACGCAAGATCAAATAAAATAAACATCGCTGGTCACTAAGCACACTAACTTACTTAGAAACCGCCGGAAAAAGAAGTGAAACAAAGACGTGCATAAATCGCGCGGCGCAGGCGCAGGAGATAAGGTGGATTAATTTAAACAGGATTTCGAGTTTTATTCGTCTGACCTTCGCTGTGCAAACAATTTGAACAATTTTTAGACAATGAAGGTGAAAGTTGAGAATATTTATTGACATTTTATTAATTTGAAAGTAGGCACTGCGCTAAGTGCAATGCAACATGAGTGACCGTGAGTCATAAAGAGTAAAGAGTGTGTTGTGTGAGATTTCCAGCGATCTTTTAATTCTCATGAGCGTGCGGTGCGCGTCTTCCGCGGTGTTCCGAATGCGTCGTCGAGTGATTGATCGACGAGAAATATCTAAGCGGTATTAACACGGCGATCGTGGTGTTAACAAATAAGGCCATTTAGGAGTCGAATACCGTTGATTCGATCATCGCCGGCGTGTTCGATACTGCGAATTGATGCGGTGAGGTCTTGGCCGCAGGTGAATTAGATAAGGTTATGATTTCAGGCGCCATCTATATTTTTCTTAGGTATTAACACGTTGAGGACGGCGCGGTTTTTGGGTGTCTGTCGCATCGGGCGGCGTTTGAGCATTTTCAACTCCGTCTAATTAATTCAGCTGTGCGCCACTGGTGGTTATGCATTGCTGTATCAAAAAGCGATTGTTTTTGCAGTTGCGTCGCCATTTATTTATTTTCTTTGTAATGAATGCCTTTATCTTTAGAGTCCGACCGAAACTATGTGCGAACTGAGATGGCAAGTGACAACCACGACTTAGCCGCGAGTTAGCCGAACGACGCACGATAATTCACGAACACTGAGTTTCGGTTCTGCCAAAAGTTTCAGCCAATTTTTGGCCAAAACCAAATTTGAAGCCAAAACTGAAACTTTGGTCGGTCACTATTTATTATAATATGTAATCTGAGTGACACATTTGATGACAAAGATGCAAGGCCCTGATTGTATAGGTGAAACGAGGAGAAGATATAACCTAACCAGTGGCGTAGTCAAGAATAAATAAGTCTCGTTTCAAATGAGCCGTGTACCACCGGTGGTACACGCCGTCCCACAGACCAGACGCGTGTGTACCACCGGTGGTACACACCGTCCTCAACGTGTTAAGTATTGAAAAGTTAAATTTTTAATTTTTTTTTGCATGGAAATTGTGTATTAAGTGTGGAAAACCTTGTTTTCCAAATGGGGATGTGGAAAAACATTGTATTCCACCCAGGAATGCAGAAAATCTTGTTTTCCACACTCGGATGTGAAAAACCCTTTTTATAAAAACATGAAAAACAATGTTTTCCACACTACTGTACAGAAAACCAGTGTTTTTCAACATAAACTTAGAAAAACTAAATTTTTTTAAATTTTTTTGAATATTTTGCACCTGACAGCTTCTCTCTCACCGATGTCTTATGCAAAACGCGTCCGAGGACGTCTAAGGACGACCGGACGACACACGCGCTATAACTCACGCGCTCACTGCTCGCCGTCGACTTCAATTTCGCACCGAACGCACACCTCGCCAATATTTATACGCGGTAATCACTTGCTGCGTCCTAGAGCTAATTTAACGGACGTTTATTGAGCGAATCCATAATAGATTGCTCACATTTATTACCGGCCCGGAGAGGCGTCCGATCAGGTTCATTATAAAAAAGAACAGAAAAAAATTCCACGCGTGAATAAATCACGCGTAAACTATACACGACCGCAACGAGCCACAACTACCCTTGAAGTGTTCATAAATTACGTTTTTATGGGCAATGCTCGCCGGCGAATAAAATTAAGCGCGTTCACAATTTGAATACCATATAACTCGCTAAAGTAAATATTAGATAACCAATGCTCGAGTGAGTGAATTCAAGATGGACAATGACAATCGCATTTTATTGTCATTTGTTGTTGTGTTGTTGCGTGCGTTGTTTTATTTGCATTGATTTATGCACTCTGCGCATTCCTGCGGCGAGGCTTAAAACTGTGTCAGGGCTCGCGCAGACACATTACCATTTTTTCCTATGTGTATCGATGGTACGCGCACGCGCGCGTGGCTCAGCGTAACCTTATTGGCAGGTGATATGAATAATGCATGCGCGCAATTATTTAGTACTTTAATTAATTTATTGCCTGTTTAGTTGAGTAAATTGTTTTTTTTTTTTCATTGCAGGCTAGTCGCAGCATCGCACGGAGCGGATATCTTTTCGTTGCGCCTGATTGGGACTTTTCTGTGCCGCTGAATAGGACTAAGGTAAGGTTAAATTATTTACGCATGCGCAGATTATACTTTAAGTATATTTTTATAGTGTGGTATCATTTTTATGGTTAACAATTAATATTTTCTGAAGTATTTTTATGAAAAATTGAATTTTTGTGGTTATGTCGGTAATGTAGGTTGTTTCATGATGTTTTTACTGTTTTAAGCTATTTTGGATCAGAAAATGGGATTTTTCTTAGAAATTTCGAGTGGAAAACATTTAATTATGTTTTTAAGCCCAAAATTAACAAAATAACCTCAATTTTCTGACTTTAAAAAATAATTTTGAGGTTATATTGACTTGATCTAAACACCTGGATGTGGAAAACATTATTTTCAAAGCTTATTGTACAGAAAACATTGTTTTCAAACATGAATTCAGAAAAAACTTATTTATTTCCTAAAAAGGTTGCTTTTTATGCAATTTTTGGTGTGACAGATTATCAGTACCTAACCACTATTATCTGTGCCAATTAACAATTACAAACACACCGTCCGACAATTGGTTATTTCACCTGCAAGCAGGTTTTTCGTGATTTAGTACCGCACGAGTCGTAAACAAGCCGCGCAACGAGCTAGTCTACCACCTAAATTACGGTTCAATTTAAAACGAAATTTATTTTGAGTGCGATGCGCATACTTATCCTATCTGTCAAAACGATTAGTTCTGTTTGTATTAATTAGCAATTAGTTGCGTTCGGATGCGTTCCCGCACGACGGCGCACGCGAAGAAATTCGTGGTTTATTAGCCGATTACTCTCCGCAAGCATGTTCATATTTATTCATTAAATCTTCTTGTATCTTTCGGTGTAAAACCACATTTGGCTACTACTAAATTCTACTAAACGATAAATGCATACAGGAGTGTAATTAATTTTTTTCTTCCTCTCCGCCGGCTTGTGAATACATCCTATTGCTTCGATCGGTTCGCATGCACGCTGTATTTGTTAAGTATAAATAAGTAAGCATATTATGCAAGAGATTGGGAGTTGGAAAGTTCGGGTCATAGAATGTCATCATCGTCTCGCGAAGAAGGCGAAGCGGTGAAGATGCGCCGCGCAGCGTTTTGACTTTGCAACCTCTTCTCTAATATACTCTCCCGTTTAGTATCTTTTCGTATCGGATCGGCTGTAGTGGATACGAATTTTCATGCATTCGCTTGTTGCCATCATCGCATCATCATCAGCTGTACTTATTTTTCACATGCATTCACATTCATCATGCATTACAAGCGATTCTCAGATCTGCGTTGCTTAAATATCAAATTGTAACAAATTGCTTTCGGAGTCTTAGCGGCTCACAGCTCACACGCGATTCGATGACGACATCGGAGATTATATTATTTTTAATGCTTTTATGTAATCTTATTATCTGTGACATCATATTTTTATTAATTATTAGGTTTAGAAGGTAAAAAATATTATTTTCTTTTAAAAAATTAATTGGGAAGGTTTATTATGCACTTTAACGCCATCTATATACGAAATATCGAACTATAGGTATGAGTAAATCTCTATTTTAACTTTCATCCCTTATTTTTAACCCTTTGAGTTAATTTTTGCGATAAAAAGTAGTCTATTTTATTTTTCAAGGTCTAAACTATCTCTATACCTAAATTTATAGAAATTGGTTCAGTGGTTTTTGTGTCAAAGCGTCACAAACATACAAAAAACTAATATTTTGTATTTACATCATTAGTTTTGATTTGAAATCAATTTTTTTAAATTTCAATTGTAATTTCTGCTTTCCAACTTTCTTTTTCGATATAAAACAATAACAATATCGATAAAAGATGATTGTTTCTCACCACAATTGATGAAAATAAGTATTTCTCGAATGTTTGGATCACACACTCGAATCTTCGACTGCTGGAACGCTTGCGGTAGACTTGTGAGGTAGATGAGGAGTTCAAGGTTGTCGTTTAATTTATTTTTTATTTTTATCTCATTGGTTACACGGAGTTGGACTATCATCATCGCTGGTACCTGACCGAATGCACCTACACATAATTTTTTTCATTCTCGAAATCTAATGGAAACTTTCTTTTACTCGCTTTGATTTTTTTTTATTTGTGGGAATTTTTATTTTCTCGAGGAAAACAACATTTTGACCATTAATTTTCATTAGTGTATTAATTGCTTTCTTCAGCATTCGCTTCAAGGCAAACAAAATGCACACACACACACACAAAGTAGGAAGGAAAAAAATGCGGCGAGAATGAGCTAACATAGGTGTGGCTGGCGCGTTCGCGTTGACTTGAAGTTCACTCAGTTAATTGTAGGCATGCAAAAGACGCGTACGGATTCGTGCGACGTGTAATTGATAGTTACGGCATACCGCTTGTGGTTTTTATTCGTTACGTCTTCTTCCAAAACCACACCAACAACATTGGGAGAAGAGAAAAAAATCACATCACATGCTGGTATTTTTTTCTTCTTCGCCGTGTTTGATTCTAAACGCGGACAGCACCGTTGGTCGTAGTTGAAGATCCACGCATAAAAAAACTTTTCGCGAATCGAATTCGCAACGTATAATTGCGACGAGGCGCCGATACCTCCCAGCGCTGGTGATTTTAATTTCAACCACAACGCGAACCCAAAGTAGGAGGTTCACAAAAAGTCTATTAAATCAGCAAAGTAGATTAATTTATGACTGACTTTTCGAGATCCTAGATTCGAGCGAAGAAAAAAAAAACGAGATGAGGCGCCTGTTATCGCCGGGCGAACTCTGTTGAACTGCGAGCGTTTAATAATGTTAATTCTTAACATGATATTGCGACGTGTAAACCATTAAAGCTATTAGCCGATCAACGTCTATCTATCAATCTTTGTAATTACTTACAAAAATATTCAATGTTTCCATTTTTGGCGAAGCGGAAATAGGTTTTACAGTGGCGCCATCTATCGGATGAACCAGTTTTTAATATCTTTGAATTTTTTATCTGATTTTTATCTCTAGAATTATAATATTTGGTAAAATTGTGAAAAATTGTAAAAATAAGAGAGAAAAATTGATATTTAATCAGTTAAGTTATGTTTTTTTTACAGCAAATTTAATAAGAAACTTTATTTGTACGTAAATATTGACTGTTACAACAATATTTTCAGTCATTTTATCAAGTTATGTAACAAATGGGTTTATTACAGTCATAAAACACTTTTTGTCGAAAATTTTCAACACGAAAAAGGCTAAAATTATTGAAAATGTATGTTTGTTCCTTTTTAACGCCAAAACCATTGAATTAATTTTTATAAATTTTGGTAAATAGATAGATTAGACTTTTAAGAATGGCATAGAATAATTTTTATCCCGAAAATAATTTTTAAAATATTTTTTATTTAATTTTTTTGATAAAATTGATTTTTTCATATGTAACTCAATAGAAAATGCTATTTACCTACAAATAACAATTGTTAAACAAATATTATGAATCATTTTATCAAGTTACATAACAAAAGCATGTTTATGACAGTTATAAAACACTTTTCGTCGAAAATTTCCAACTCGCGCGCGCAAAAAAATCTGCAATCAATAAAACGATGAACGAACACGCTTGTTGTATTATTATTATTATCATTGTGTGTGTGTGTGGTGAACCGGGCGCAACAAGTTGAAAAGAGTTACGTAACAGTCACGACCTGTATCTGTTTGCATCTTTTCGCACATGAACAACGCGAGAGCCGCCGCGCGCGCGTACTCACATATATCGCGCATGAATCGCGACGCGGCGAACACAATACGCGCATTCAATATGCGCCGTGCTTTATGTTACGACGCGTGGTGCACACACCACCACACCGCACCGCACACTTTACTACTATACGTTTATTTAAAGATCCGCGGATATAATCGCGCACCGGCCGCGTGTGTAAGGCTATACGTGAGCATCTTATGCTCTTTGGCGACGCGACGCCAAGCCAAAAACGAAACGGAACGCCGCGCAGAGTATCGCACTCATTGTAATATAGTAAATTCAGCGCGTCGCGTTGTGTGATTTTTTTTCTCTGCTCGTGTCCGATTCAATTCGATTGCGATCGCGACGATTACGTTCGCATGTTTAGTGCTCACGCGTTCTCCTCCGCCATTCAATACTTACTTACGTTCGGCCATTATGCACGTAACAATGTTGCTTGTGGTGTAATGGTGATAGTTACGCTCACAGGAGACAAAAATTTAAAAAAATCAAAATTTTTATTTCATTTAAGAAAATTTATGTTTTTTATGTCTAAAAAAAAATTAATCATCAACTTTGGTTGACGTCTCCTTTGACCTTTTATTTTGAAGCTTCCAAAAACCAAAAAAATATCAAAAATTGCAAATTTTTTACATTTTATAAGAGAATTATTGTTTTTTGACGACAAAAAATCATCAACTTTGGTTGACGTCTCCGCTGGCCTTTAATTTTAAAGATTTCCAAAGGACGATCTTCTAAAGTTTATTGTGTGAATTAAACTTTGATATTTACTTACAAAGTTGCATTTTATACCTGTTTAACTGTTTACAATTCTCTTCTGTTGGTTTTTTTTCATTTTATAAAACAAGATATGAAATATTTACACAATTTTAATTAATTTTTTCTCTTTTATCTCGTTAAACATCTTCTCACCTCCGTTGACAGGTGACGAGGTGGCCGAGTGGTTAAGGCGTTGGACTGCTAATCCAATGGGCTCTGCCCGCGTGGGTTCGAATCCCATCCTCGTCGAACTTTTAATATTTTCGATCCAAATGCAATCCGATCATTTCCGCGTTTCATATTACTTCTCACTGGGCAATGTGATCCATAAATATGCCAAACTTAATCGCCGGTGCATTGTCGCGAGCGCTTTTTATTTTACGGTTTAATCTTTGCCGTCCTCCCGCATCGCAAGCCGCCCACGCACGCATTTTTCACATTTCGCGAGCGCGCGAGCCCATTTTTTGCGCGCGCGTACCTTAATCTGCGATCACGGCGCTGCTATAAAACACCAATTTGTGGCCTCGCCAACAACGGCACA